GGGGCCCTTTGAACCGAGTGGTTTTGCCGCCAAATGGCACCACAAAATACCGGTTATGGCCAGAGCCAATACGTTTCTTGTTGGCATCAAATCTTTGAGATATGAATCAATAGGATATGATCGATAGGGCACAAAGCCCTCTGTTAGTTAAGGTGGATTCAAATTTGTCCCCTTAGACAAACATTCAACCCCGGTCTACAAGGTCCCCTTGGACGAAGCAACCCATGGCTGCCGACAAGGATCCTTCTGTCAGGTTGGGTCGACTACCTCCTCTGACTAAGTAGACCATGGACCATGATGGCCCGGGACGACGGAACCATGGGATCTTAATCGGGTCCATCATCTATTCCCCCACCATCCGCTTTAAGTGCAAGATGGTGAAATTTCAAATTTTAAATATCAAATCTTTCAACCCTTCAAATTTTCAATCTCTAAAATTTTCAAACTTTCCAAATACCCAAATCCTTCAAGTTTTAAAGTTCAAATTCAATTCCCATTCTAATTACATTGTTGCTACTATACGCCAGATAACACGTATCTTTACGTATTTGATCAACGACTAGCCTTAATCGAAAGTTCTCTCTCGTGATCGGGAGAGGTAATTAACTATAGGGGCTTGCGTCTATAGGAAACCAGAACTCAGATCATAAAGTCCTCGCAAAATGAGGGCGAAATCTCTGGGTAGTGTCTTATCTACAAATCCATCTGCCTTCCAAAATTTACCTCGGAACTTAATTCCGTTAAAACTCCCTCGCTCAAATAAAAAGAAAAAGCACGGCGGGGAGGCCGGGACCGAATTTTCGGAGCCCACATTCTCTACTTAGAGAATTATTAGATTTGAGGAGGTCTAGGCTTCTTACTCAGTCTCAGTTGGTGTGGTGAGAGTGGCATTGAACAAGAAGACTAGTGGAAACTATGCGGAGATACTTAATTATAAATTTCGTAGATCCTTGAAAGCACTTTTTTATTGGAGTAAAGCTAAACACAGGGAATAATACTCAGCAGAAAGAGTCTCTCAAAACAAAAATTATGGAGCTGCAATCAAAGGAATCAGAATTTGGCTGGCTGTGAGAGGAAGATATGTCTCTTCTAGGATCTTATATTAGTGAGTTGAATTCTATATTGGCCCGATTGAATACTTGGTGGAAGCAGAGAGCCAAGGTCAAATGGATGACTGAGGGAGATACAAACTCAAAAGTTTTTCACTCCTATGCTTCGGCCAAAAAAAATTCAAACTGGATTTTTAAAATAAAAGATGCAAATGGCTCGGTAATTGAAGATTCTATTCTAATTTCTGAAGTTTTCTTAAATTTTTCTAATGGTAAATGGAAGGAAAGGAATAGTTCTCTCAGCGGTTGGTCGTTACCTAATTGTTCACTTGATGAGAATGATAGGGAGTTATTAATTAAAGAGCTATCTATGGAAGAGTTAGAGACAGTTGTGAAGCAAGCTGGAGAAAGTGTTTCACCAGGTAATGACGGCAGTTCATATTCATTTATTAAGCCTTATTGGAGCATTATTAAAATTGATTGCTGGAATGCTATCAACCATTTCTTCCGTTCGAGAAAGATGAATATGGACTGAAAAGAAACGTTACTTGTTCTTATTCCTAAGGTTTTAAATCCTGCTATACCGAGCCAATACAGGCCTATTAGCTTGTGCAAATCTATTTACAAAGTTGTGGCTAGAATATTGTTAAACAGTATGAAGCTTTAGGTTCCAAAGTTAATTTCAGTGGAGCAAGCTGCTTTTATCAATGGAAGGTCATTATGAGATCATATTCTAGTGGCTCAAGAGGTTTTTCAAAAGTTCAGGACTTCTAAGTCTTCAAAAGGACTAGTTTCATTTAATGTTGATTTGGAGCAAGCATATAACAGCATGTGTTGGAAGACCTTAAGGCATGTCTTGGAATATTTTGGGTTTCCTGAAAAGTTTTCTTTGTGGATTATAGAATGTGTGGAAAATCCAAAATTTTCTTTGATTATTAATGGCAAGATTTCTAGCTGGATTCATGCAAAGAGTGGATTCCGTCAAGGATGTCCACTTTCTCTTTTTTTTGTTTATTCTATGCTCTCAACTTCTTACTAATGGGCTGAAACATAAAGAAGAATCATTGGGAATCAAAATGGGTAATAATGTGCTAAAGATTTCTCACCTACTATATGCAGATGACATCTTAATTTTTTCTCATGCTAAATTCAGTGAAGTGAAGGAAATAAAAGTTTTATTATCAGATTTTTGTACCTGGACAGGACAAAAGATTAATGTGGAAAAATTAGCAATTTTGTTTGGTAAACATGTCAAGAAGAGAACAAGGAAATCAATTGAACGGATTATAGGGTTTAAGGTGGTGAAGGAGTTCATGTATCTCGGTGTTACAATAGCATTAAGAAGTTTAGTTGCTTCTGATTTCTATTTTTTAATTGAGAAAGCTTTAAAGGTAATTGGTGTGTGGGGAAGCAAGCTTTTGTCTCTGGCAAGAAAATTCATGCTGATTAAAATGGTTATGCTTTCAATTCCTTTGTTCTATTGCACTTTCTAATTAATCCCGAAAGGAATTCTAAAAGAGTTGGATAAATTGAGTAGGAAGTTTATCTGAAATAAACAAGATGGGAAGTTGGGACTACATTATGTTAGCTAGAATAATCTCTGTAAACCGATTAGACATGGAGGAAGAGGTCTTCGTTCGTGTGTTAGTGATGTGGGACCTTTGAGAGCAAAATTGACTTGGAAGGTAATTCAAGACGAATGTTCTCTATTGTACAAATTTTTTAAACCAAAATATGGATTATATTGTGGTCAAATTGGTTATGGTAGAGGAGCTTGATCCACTTAAAAAATCTTGTCTAATGGTTAGAAAGCTTTGGAATCAGTAGTTAAGTGGAAAGTGGTTAATGGTTGTTCCATTGATATCTTGGAGGATATATGGATCGTAGAAAAAAGTTTGAATAAATGGCCAACATTTGTTTCGGTTCCATCTGGAAAGCAAACGATAGACAATCTAATTGTAAACGATGAATGGAACAATCTGGAATTACAAACTCTATTTGGAGAGGAGCTTATCAGACTAATTCAAAGGGTGGAGATTCAAAGAGATCAGGAAGAAGATTATTGGAGCTTATTCATCAAAACTCAAGTAATTCAATTTCTTCTCTGGTTTATAAGGTTTCGATAATGCAAAATGTGGAATGTTGTTATTGGAAATGCTTAAAAATAGTCAAATTAAGTTCTCGAGTGGAGGTATTCTGGTGACAGATCTTCAGTAATGCTATTCCTACGTTCCATTTTTTTATATCAGAGAAGGATTCAAAGTGAATTTGGTTGTCCTCGGGGATGCTGTTTAACAGAGGATTTTGATCATATTATGGCTAAATGTGAGAAGATGAAGGAAGTTATTGGTTATCTAAACAAATGGGGATTTGGATTCCAGTTTTTTGAATCTTTTCAAGATTGCTGCATTTGGATGGAGAAGTATAGTAAGGTTCATGGATTCCTCATCAATATCTATTGTAATGCAATTTATCTAACATGGAGATCAAGGAACAAACTCGTACATGACGGAAAGGAGGATAACTCTATGTTCATAGCATCAAATGCTATAAGTTATGCTTCCATTTCTTACATGAAGGATGAAAATTTGGGAAACTGGGGTACTAATCAGTCTTCTACACTGTTGGATCATTGGTATCCTCCTCCCAATTGGATCAAGATCAATGCAGATGCATCTTTGTTACAATCATACAAGGCTGGAATTGGAGGTGTAATTCGGGACAGTAAAGGAAGGTTTTTACTGAGCTGTGGTCAATCTTGTATTCATTGGAATATCTCTAATCTAGAACTCATGGCGGTTAAATTTATAGAGGAAATCAAGAAAGATTGGATGCTAGATTATCAAGGTATCATTATTAAATGTGAAAATTACAACGTCATCAATTTTTTGCAAAAATTGGGAGGTAAATGAAGAGATGAACTGTTATTTTTCAAGGATCATAAATTTCTTTTCTTTAATTGGGTTAATAGAAGATGTAATAAGTTAGCGAATCTTTGTGCTAAATATGCACTTTTTTAGGGATTTTTTTTCGGAAGATTTATCTTGTAATAATGTTCCTCCTTTGTTTTCAAAATTGTTAAAGGAGTAATCAAATTATGTTTTTAGTTTGCAATTAGGATTTGCTTTGAATAATAGCATTGGCAATTTGTTTGCCTTCTTCAAAAAAAAATACTTTCCAAAAATACCTCTCGTCATTAGATCAATTTTTTTACCATCTTACTTCACTCAAGTGAGCACCTACCACCTCAAGCATTAAATACTCATAATCACTTGAAGGCATCTAACACATTTAATAACATTAGTTTAGATTAGCTACATACCTCCGAGGCAACATTTCTGAAGATAGAGTGGTATGCATGAATATAAAATTCAAACTATCTAATAAACGCTTTTGGCTAATTCTAAATAGCCATTTTTCAGTTTTATAATAGGACCATTAGAAGTAAGTTCATTAATTCTGAGCTCACCAGGTTTTCTTCAAAATCTATATCGAGATTAAAAAGTAAGTGGATCTTCGGAAGGATACCACTGCTGAACCATCAAAAGCATTCAAGTGCAATTTGGCAGCATGTTTTACTTTAACCTCTTTATAAGAGAAGATACCATCAGCATATCCTAGACTGGAATAATGTGGGATGAAACTTCTTATATTTGAAATCGGATGTGAGGTTCATATTAAAAGGAAGCCTCAAGCTTCTGGGTTCAGTAACTACAAAACACTGAGTTCTATCTTTCTTCACCACTACTAAAACCAAATTCATGTAAACAGATAAGAAACAATGTACTAAACCGAATTAAGCACCCTGTCAAGCTACCTACGCAGTTCCATCAACAGTCAACCAGTAATAATATGCCTAATCGGATGTGGCTTTAAGGAACTTCTAACCTAATTAAAATTGACCCGGTGAAATAAATAAATAAAAACAAAGTTCATAATAAGAAAGTAAACCTCCATTGCTCCTTTTGCTTGCAGCCAGAAGCAAGATAGGCAACAAGATCTTCTTTTGTCAAAGGTTGAGTCAACACAGTTGTATCCTCCGCTGGAGGACTCGCTGCTACAGTGACTTGACGCCCTCGCTCTACTTCAGGAAACTCCAAGCGCAGGCCCTGTTGCTTCCTCTTGGCGCTCCTCACGAAAGACGAATAGCACACAACTTCAACCTTTGGTCTAAGACTGATCATCATCGAATTAGCATTGCACTGCAAGCCACTCGCCATCTCAGATTGAAAATTTTGGCAAGTATACAAGCGGGGTATAAGCGCCATCGGCTAATCTCCACTCCTGTGACCTCCAAAAGAAAATGAAAGCAAATGAGCTATTCACAGCATGAATAGCGTGGAACAGCAAACGGAGATGCTGAGATAATATACGAAGGAACGAATCAGATTCGTTATTAGAAAGGAATTGCGGTACTGGATTGGTAGCTAGATCAAGTACCTCAAGGATTGGTGGAGCTAGGGTTTCCGTTTCAGAATCCGATAGCGTATCCCAATGTTCTACGGCGGCACACTCCGGAGAGAACGAACTACGAAGGACGGCGATCTGTTAAACTGCTGAGAGGTTGAAATAGCGGCGGGAGCCACTGCTGGGTCCCGCGAAGCACAGCGCACACCTGACGTCGGAGTTTGGAAAATGGTATGATCTGGGAACGGATTCGTTGCTCCCACAAAGAACATAGAGAAAAAGTAGAGGATTTTTCTCAAATTAAAAAAAAAAAAAAAAAAGGTAGAGGAGAATATTTTAAAAAGCTCTTTGATTGGGATTTAGAGCTCACTTGGTTATTTGAACGTAGTTATATTCTAAAAAGAGTAGTGTTTCCTAATTTTTTTATATCTTACCTATTCAAAAATTGATATTTTTATTAGACTATAAATTTATATTAAAAAATCAGTTATAACATATGCATCTAAGTATTGATATGACATCAAAAAATTATCTTGATCGGACATGAATCTCAAGGCAAGAATCAAATTAGAAACTTCAAAAGTTAAATATGGGATCATCTGAACTCTGATTTCAACAAACTTATAGTCAAACTGATCGTCTCAAAAATATGAACCTAACGACACCAAATTCAACTCAATACGAGCCCAAATGGGTCTGAATCGAAGTCCCGAAGCATTGTTGGAAGGTTCAAACCACAATTTGGATTATCAAACGGTTTCAAAACATGTCATGCTTATAGTTAAATCAAGCAGCTCAACGAGACGAATCCAACGAGCTCAAGATCGTTGAATTCTGATATCATTAAGAGCTTCAAATAACTGACGAACCGTCCACGATCAAGGGATTCAATATCGAATGTCCATCTAAACCACTCCACATTTGCCCTTGATCCTCCTCTTATTTACGGGTCATGCCATCCTCAAAAAGCTATAAATAGTCCATAATTTCCCTTAAGAGGGGTCGAAGCAAGAAGGAAGAGGAGGAGAAGAGAAGAATAGGAGAGAAGAAACTCCTTTTCGGCCACCGTCGGAGTTCTGCCGGACTTTCAAGTGACACCAGAGTTCTACCCAACTTTCTACGTAAAAATCTTGATGTCTCTAGTGAATTATGCACCCTCTCTTTTTATTTGTGTGCGTGATGGATCTTTATACAATGCTAAAAAATTAAACTTTATTTTTCTCTACCGTCGAGAATACTCCAGGAAGCAATAAGTATCATCATTTTTTTAAAATACATTTTATAAATAATCAAATTGATCTTTGAATATATTTTAAGAGTAGCATTCTTTCATTTAGGGGATGTTTAGGGGGCTAAAAAAGTAATAATATAAAAGAAATGCAATGTAAAAGGAAATATTTTAGAGTTGTTTGAATGAGTTTAAAATAAATTTAGATAAATAATTTTTTATTTGATTCAAAGTAAAATGAATATAGTATAAGTTTAAAAATAACAGCCAACGAGAGGTAGTGGTGGAGAGTGGTAACGGTAACAAAAAAAGATTTTGATGGAAGCAACTATGTTTGTTGTCTCATTTGGAAGGTTAGAATAAGCATCTACCATGGGCGCTGTTTGTTTTAAGGTGAGAGATGAGCTAAAGGGAGAATGAAAGTAGTGCTCGAGGTCGTGAGCTGCGAGTCGCGAGAGAGGAGCAAAAGGGAAAAAGAACCATTGATGCTTTTCATGTGTCCAAAAAAAGATTTTGATGGAAGCAACTATGTTTGTTGTCTCATTTGGAAGGTTAGAATAAGCATCTACCATGGGCGCTGTTTGTTTTAAGGTGAGAGGTGAGCTAAAGGGAGAATGAAAGTAGTGCTCGAGGTCGTGAGCTGCGAGTCGCGAGAGAGGAGCAAAAGGGAAAAAGAACCATTGATGCTTTTCATGTGTCCAAAAAAAGATTTTGATGGCTTCTCTGAATTAGTAAATAATTTTAAAAGAAAGAGTTAAAAAAATTAGAATAGGTTTTTATAAACTTTTTTTAATAGAAATAGAACTAAATTAGTCAAGTAAATCTAGTTGAAGAATTGAAGTTCAAATGAAAATAAAATCTCACTCCTTGCTGGCTAACTTGTTGCTCAATCAACTTTTCATCATTCCGTCCATAATGGAAAGTCAGTCCTCCCTCTTACTTTCAATATTTTAACCCAGCAGTCTTTCTCTCTCCACATCTGAAGTATTGCATGGTCTAGGTAGGAGGTGGATTGAAAACTTGAAATCGAAAAAGCCTGTGATAAATAAAATGAAAGCTAATAAGGCTTGTATCATAAATGCTTAAGCTTACTAGTAAGTGGTCTATCGGTGGCGACAGTCGGAGGTTGGTAGAGGTGGTGTCCGCTAGTGATGGCAGTTGTGGATGGTGGTCAGCAATCAACAACGGTGTTCGGAGGGTGGCAGCGGTGGACATTAGCTGGTGGCGACAATAGGCATTAGCTAGTGGTGGCGGTGGCCATCAGCTGCCGGCAACGGTGGCCTATGGCGGGTGGAGGTTGCTAGCGATGGTGGTCAGTGGGGTCATGCGAACTTCCTTGAGGTGTAAAACAATCTTGCTCAAAACTGGGCGAGTTTACTTTACCTCAAAAATAAATTAAATTGGATTACACTACATTTACTTTATTTTGAATTCCTTTTTCATCCAATAAAACATCAAAACTGTTAAAACCCCTACATCTGGAATATTTTGAAACCTAAAGTATTCTAACCAAATAGCCCCTTAGTTAAAATGCATTATTAATTAAATTCAAAGAACTATTAATTTTTTATATATATTTGCCATAATATTAGTGATAATTATTAAAATTTATATGAATTATAATTATATGATTTGTTTTTTGCATATATGCACGTGGTCTCACAATAAATTTATGTGAAGTTTAGGTTTTTATATTAAGTAATATGTTTATTTTAACTTAAAGTATTTCATTGAGATATAAGGTGTAAAGGTCTAACAACTTTAGGATATGAAAAGTATTTTAAAATGAAAAAAAAAAAGAAAATTTGAATTTCTGTTTAACCTAGAGCACTTTGATGATGTGCTTTGTAGCACAGCAGCGCTTGAGTCTTTGTTCAACGGTAATTTTGGATTCAGCATATAGCGCTGCAGCTCTGGGTCTATGAGCTACAGTGTTAAGGCACTAAAAATATTTTTATATATATTAAATCCTAATATTCTAAGCATTAAGCTGCCGCCTCTTCCCCCACCACCATGTCTTGCTTAGGAAGGAAGAACAGGAGAGTGAGAGGAAGGAAGAGAAAGTGAAGAGAGAAAGCATTTGGGGTATTTCTATCCCTCGATTTTGTTCAGAGATTTATTCTAATTGTTGTAAGTAACCTGAATCTCACTATGGGTTTAAATGATTTTGAGTTAGACGGGTTTATTCTCTCATAAATCAATAAAAATATTTTTTTTCCTAATTCATCGCACTTTCTCGTGTAACTTTTTATATATATTATATTCAAATTTTATGAATATTTGATTGTAATATTACAGAAATTTATCTCGTGAAATAAAAGTTATAATTTTTTGAAGCTATAAATTGATATATAGATTTCCCGGCTTTTATAGAACTGAGCATTTCATGTTTTATTTCATACATTAAGATGCATTTTATGAAATAAAAAAAGGTTGGTCGTCAACACTTTAAATTAATATGGGCTTGCTCTTAAAATATAATACCTTATGTAGACTGGTGGGCAGATGAGCATTCATTTAAAGATGATTTATGGTGTTATCTAGATTGTAGTTTGTAATTGATGATCGATTATGATGACAGGCAGAGAGTAACAACTCTTAATGATTTATTCAAAGTCACATGTAATGAAAATGATAATGATAATGATATTTTAATAAGAATAAACATATGAAAGAATAAAAACAACACATTAAAGCTGGATATCCTGGCTTGGAAATCATATATTGAAGTATATATGCATTGATAGTATTGATAAATAGATCATAATGGGTACATATATATGTATTAATTGCATTAGATAAGATAGATAAGACTGAAGATATTGACGCTTATATGTTATTATTCCTTTACTAATTTTCAAATGATTTTAGTATGATTGCTTTACGGATAAATTGATTCTTATACCATTATTGATTCATTGAAATGATTTATTGCTTTTATTATTAATTATTTTGAGCCTTATGAATGTTATTTATTATATTGACTGAACTGAGAATGCATATTTATTCTTAAAGTCTTATATTGGAAGATTTAAGGAATTTGAGTTATTGTTAGGTTTTTTAACTCATTAGATGAATTTTAATAATTTTAGGCCAGGAATGAGATCATGACCAAGTAGAGTAAAGTTGTCAGAGATCCTTAAATTTTCCTTTAGATTTTTTTTATATTCTTGTTATTCTTTTGTAGTCAAGATCTATTGATAATTTTTTTTTTTTTTGTAGTTTGTGCCTATTGTATATAATTTTGGGAGAATGAATATAATGAAAGATTATGAAGTATATGATTTTAGATGCTTCCGCTGGAGTGATTTAGAATGATGAATTGATAAAAAATTTGGTTAACTATTTAAGCGTTTAAAAATATACAATTCTTTCAAATTTGATCTTGGGATGTCAATAAATGAATCTCATTATAAGGGTGTCAACAAATGAATCTCATTATAAGGGTGTCAATATATAATTTCATAGTGTTAACACATATTTGAAGATAGATTTCAATGAATCTCATTATAAGGGTGTCAATAAATGACTCAACTCATCAACATAATGCTATCACGAACCAAAATTTGAATATGGGTTGACACTTTTAATAAACTGGTTGAGTTCGAGTCTAAATTCTAACATGTTTACTAAAAATGTCAGGTTCGAGTTGACCCATAAACTCATTTTTGACCTGAGTGACCACCCATTTATTTTTTTCTTAATTTTTTTTTGTTGTAAGATCTTGTTTTTTATCAATTAAAATAAAATCTATAGTGATAAATTATAAAATAATATTTTTTTAATCAAAATGAGATATCAGGTAGGGTTTGGGTCCACCTTTTTTACTCATTTATTAAATGGATCGAGTTTTAGTTAACTCGAATTGGGTTGAACCGAAACCCAACCCATTATCCTACTTTAATGCACCTAATATCATATCCTCAAAAATAACATAACATAAAAAGAGTGTGTTAAATAAGATTGTTATCTTCACACCCCAAGTACGAAATGCAATACACCCTGACAACACGGGACATGAAGAATGGGATAGAAAAAATTATTTTGAACACACAAGAA